GCTGCCTAAATAGAAGTAAAAAACAGGTGCAAACAATAAGGAGCAGGTGAACTAATGATGATTAAATAAAAGGGCCAAAACTGAGGTGAAACAAAACAGGAAGTAATGTGAAAATAAAAGCATGACAGGAAGCAAGAGGGGCAGGAGCGTGACACATATAAGGTGCTTCCATCCCATAGGTGGTGGAAAACTTCTTTCTCTGTGAGTCACTAGTAGTTCTCTCTCTCTTCAGTGTTCCTTACAATTTGCAGCCATCTTAATCTGAACAGTGGAATCTGGCAACCACTCCATAGCACCTGCATCCGTCCAACCTGACCCGCTTTTGTTCTGGTCCGACCCCCTAACTTTAGCCCCTAATTAACCCAACAGAAACTAATTAAATATAGCTCAAGTGGACCAGATGCCAAACAGAAAAAGAAGAAGAAGGAGGAAGAGGAGGAGGACACAGGGAAGTGAGCTGAGTCGGGGGGTGAGCCAACGTGGCAGGCAGGAGTAGGAGTGAGTGTGTGTGTGTGTGTGTGTGTGTGTGTGTGTGTGTGTGTGTGTGTGTGGGAGGGGCTCTGAAGCTTGGCCTCAAGCCCCCGAGACCACTCCAGACGAACTTGAAAGAGAAGGGCATTTGAGTGTCATTGTCAACCTGGGTTGTCCTGACCATGTTTTGACTCTGTCCTGAGCTCCATATATCTTTATCATTCTGTCTTATATGAGGGACTCTGAGTTCTTCCCGCATAGATGATTAAGGGTGCCAACTGCTGTAATCACAAGCACACCAGTCACATGATGCAACTGACACCCTGGAGATATTTGGAAATAGGAAGAGACAGAATGGAGAAAGCCACAGAGAGACAAGAGGAGTGTAGAATGAAAGCAGGAGGCATAAAAGGAGGCGGGGGTGGTGGTGGTGGGGGAGAAAGGTATGGGACAGGGCTGTGAGAAAGAAGATATATAAAATATGGGTCCAAGTGAGCCAAGTGTCTCTGGCAAGCCACTGCTGCTGCTAGTCCCAGGACTAGCTCGCTAAGTGATAAAGTAATTAAGAGAAGTGTGTTCAAGTAGATAGGCCTGTAAAGGGGATTTGAAGAGGGGAACTGATTGTGCATGTTTGATTCCAGCTCTTCAGAGTGTTCTCAGCCCCACGGCTTAGCTTTCAAAGGGCCGTCTCTCTCTCCCATCTATCTCTCCATCTCTTTCTCTGTAACACATATTTACAAACTTCTTTCTATAAGACTCACATGTAGGTGAAAAACAGCACAAATGTAGTTTTCGAGGTTTTGTATAGATCATTAACAACTCATTGAAACGTCACACTGCACACATTTTTAATCGAAAAAAGTCATTGTAACAAAAAGTTTAACTGATAATAATGAGTTTGATAATAAAGTGTATCTTTGAATTTAGCACAGATACAGTATATATGATTAAAACTATATTCTATTTGTTTCATTAGGCACATTCATTTTGATCAAATTCCTTCTTAAGAGAGAATGACATCTAAACTCCATCACTTCTTTCTTTTATTCATTACCTTCATCATCCAGGATAAAAACCGCACCACACATATTGACCTGCTATAACTGTTTGAACTGTCAAACACGTCAAGGATTTTGTCAATAACCTTTAAGACTTGAGGGCATTACCTTAATGTGTCAATAACTCTATAGCTGTCAGTATAGTGAAATGAAAGGTACAACACAGCAGATATCATGATAAACACCCAAGCCCTACCTCAAAGCAACCAGTGTTTACTCTGTAGGATGAACTTGCAGGATAAAGTGATAAAGAACGTCCAACCAGAAACTTATCTATTAGCGACATCTACAGGAGACGTGGCAGTGTCTCCAAACCCTCAATGTGATGTCCTTTGCCGGTAATACAGCAGACAAAATCAGCAGTCCTTGACATGACAGGGTAATTAA